GGGAGGACGGGGCCCGGGGGAGGACGGGGGCCGGGGGAGGACGGGGGCCGGGGGAGGACGGGGGCTGGGGGTCTGCAAAAGGAATGCCTATGACAAACCACCTGGGGTGAGGGACAGGATGGGGACTTCAGGCAGAGTGGCCTCTGTGGGCAGGGGTGTCCCTTTCAGTGAGCCTCTGTCTGATGGGGCCAGGACAGCAGCACTGGGACTGGCAGAGACCCCTCCTGATGAGAGGTCCCTCCTGGCTGCACTGAGGGTGGGAGCTGGGGGCGGGCAGGCGTCGGGAAGGGACAGAAGGGATGCTGACAGGGGTCTGCAGGAACTCGCTGACCAGTTCGAGGCAGCGGGTGAGGAAACCAAACAGTGTGGACGCGGCCCCAGTTTCTGCCTCGGTGGAAGGGGGACACAGCGGCCAGTGGCTAAGCTGGGGGGCACTCAGCTGCAGCAGAAGAGGAAGGCCCAGGTTTGGTCCCTTCGAGGGATGTGTTGCGAGCCCCCGGCAGACTTTTCGGAGACAGGGGCACCCGGGAGGGGCACAGGGAGATCAGAGCAGGGAACTGACCAACTGACCGGATTGCCTGGGGATAAGAAGGGTATCTATAGCTGGGCCCACAGTGGGAAGAGTCCGTGAAAGGGTCCTGAAGGGTTCATCTGGGGAACCTGGCGAGAGCTGAAGGAGGCAGAGAGGGGTGCCCAGCCTGGAGGCCCCCATCCGGCCGTCTGCTCCACACCGAGGCCCACTGCCCTTCTTGGTTCGGGTAAGGACAGTCTCCCAGGCTCCAACCCTCCCGTGCCCTCTGGGGGCATCAGGACACAGTCCTAACCCCTCCACGAGAATGCCGTCCCTGGGTGGGGACTACGGTCACCTTCACTCCCCGGACGGGGAAACTGAGGAAGACACAGATTGAAAAGAGGACACAGCAGCAAAGGAGAGGAGGGCCTTACACCTGGGACACCTGATGGCTGGGCAAGGCTCCAAATGCCCCACTCAACCCCACGGGCACCAAAGACCCGGGCACAGATGACCCTCGAGGCCCACATCCCGGGAAGAGCAGCAAGGGCCAAGGGGTTCGAGCCGCCCTGTGCTGGCACTGTTCTACCCACCTGTGAAATGGGTACACAGATGGTCCCGGATCTCAACAAACCTGCCTGAGGTCCCAGAGCAGGGAGCCGTCTGCTGGTGGGAGGGTGGGCAAGGAGCCAGCTGGGTGGAGCCCTGGCGGGGATGCCAAGGGCAGAAAATGGGGTGACCTTGAGCCGGCGGAAAGATCAAAGTCCCTCCACCTTCTCAAGCCTTTCTCTACACCGAGATCAAGCAGGGACCCCCAGGGTGAGGGCCTCCGATAGCCAGGCTCCGGTCCGGCTCCAGCCCCACCGCCCAGTGTCTTTCTGGCCTCAGAACAAAGCCCCGTGCTTCCCTGGACCATGGGCCAGACTCTGAGGAGGACTGGGCTCACCCGAAGCCAATCACACACAGCCCCCACCCCCCCAGCTACCTCCCAAACCGAAGCAGAAGCAGGTCCATGCACGTGCCCTACGCACCAACTCCCCAGCCTTCCCTGAAGGAAGTTGTGGGCCAGGACGCCAGGGAGAGCCCGGGCTTCACAGGACAATGACGCCTACCAAGGCCCGGAGGTCTCGGGCCCAAACCCCTAGGTCCCTGGGCGTGGGTGGCTCAGCCCAAGGGCCTGGAGGGTTTCCATCCTCTGGGGAGAAACAGTGGATCATGGGGCCTTCCCTCCCGTGGGCACAGCACTCTACAGGTTGGACCTCACTCCCAGAATGGCCCCGGGAAGACTTCACTCATCTGACAGAGGAGGAAACACAGCGGGGGAGGGGCCGCGGAGCAGGAACAAAGCAGGGGACCCTGGTCTGCTGGGTGAGCATGCCACTGGGTACCAAGGATGGCCAGGAAAGGGGGTGAGCCCCCACCTGGCACTGAGGGCTACTGCCAAACCCAGGACAGGCCGGGGCAGGGGGCAGGTGAGCCCTCTGGGTGGTCAGGACGCTTCCCTGCTCAGCATCAGCAGGAGGAGACCAGTGAGCCACGCCCACCCTTGATGAGGGCCTCTGTCTCTCTCTACCGGGATCCCCCACCCACCTGCAACCAGCTGGCCGACATGCCCAGCACCACCAGCCACGGAAGCCCCTCCTCTCTCTGGCCTCAGTTTCCCCTAATGGGGTAATAAGATGGCCGGGCAGCTCTGACAGACCCCGGAAATCTGTCCCAAACCACCCTCTCGTGGGGCCCTGAAGGTCCTCTGCTGTCTTTTCGACCAGATGCAGGCCATCTGGGTCACAGAGCTTGGAAAGCCTTCACGCTGCCCGGAGCAGCAAGTGAGGAGGGTCCAGCCCCACCCCGGGGGGCAGGCCGCAGGTCCCCTCTCCCCACCGCAGAAAGGGTGCGCCCAGGACAGAAACGAGACTCCCCTCCCTTCCCCCACCTGCCCGAGACAGGAACACCAGGGGACCCCTGGAACCCAGGGCCTGGCCCCCACCCCAGACTTCTAAGCCCCCTTAGAGACCTATATTTAGATTCAATGGGGATTGTGCGGACTTCCCAAGAAGGCTTTCAAAAAGACTGAAGGTCTGGCGGGAAGGGCTTCCTCTGGAGACCCCCACCTTCCCAGGCTTTGCAAACTTCCAGCGCTCATTGTTCCTTGAACAATGGTCCCAGCTCCTTCCAAGACCAGGGCAAGCCCATTGGCTGGAGAATCTGGCAGAGCCCTCTCCCAGGGCAAACACCTAGGCGGCTGGGGCCCAGGCACTCGGTTCCCAAAAGGGTGGCCACTGCCTAAGGTGAGCAAAGCCTCAGGCCATGTCCCACACACCAGTCTCACTCACGACCCGGGGAGGGGGGCAGGCAGGGCCCCCCTCACAGCGGCAGGCCCACCCTCTGGTCCTCCAAGCCCTCCTGCCCCAGGTGTGCAATTTCCAGACACCTGGCTGGGGGCCCGGGGGCCCCAAGGGCGACCGCCAACCGAGTAACCTCTGGCTGCCGGCAGGGCAGGAGCTGTCCCGCCCTGGGTGGAGTCCCTGCCGGCTCCCTCTCTCCCCTCCCCCTCCCAAACACAGACTGCGGTTCCAGCTGTGCGACATCTGTGGCTCCGGGGAGAAGCGCCTGCCCTACCGGCCTCCAATCCCACCGCGGAGCCTCTTAGGATGAACTGCTACAACCCACACGCACCGCGTTACAGAAGGGGAAACCGAGGCCCGGAGAAGGGAAGGAACGAGGCAGAAAACACTCGGCGGAACCTCGCCTCCCTCCGGGGCCCCGAGGTCTCCCCAAAGCCGGCACGGGCCCTGCCCGGAGAAGCGGGTCCGAGAAAGGCTCACTTACCCGGAGGGGTGTTCCGGGCCCGCTGACCAGCTTCCACGCCTGTCGCTTGAGCTCGGCGAGCTTCGTGTGGCAGTGGCGGCACCAGCCGCCCCCGCCGGCCGAGTGGCCCTGCTCTGCGCCCGCACCGGCGCCCTCGGGCGCAGGGCGGCTGCCGCATGGGTCCTGCTCGGGCCCGTTGGGCAGCCTCTTGCGGGGGGACACCTCCAACAGCTGCAGCGGCTCGCGGGCCGGGCCGCCCTCGGCCACCTGCGGGGGGTGGGGGCAGAAGGGGACGTGAGCCTGGGCCCCTGAGCAGTGCCACGCCGGGACCCAGCACCAGTAACTCCAGATCTCAGCGTGTCCCGGCCCCGGAGTGAGGCACGCGACAAAGTTCGGAGCGCGGGCGCGA